AGTTGTTCTTGGCTCTGCTCGCAGATCTCTCCAGCTGAATAATTTCAACTTAACACATTCTGAATCCTGGGTTTACGTATAAAAGTAAAAGCTTCACTTCATTACCTACTAGATGATGTAATTTCTCCTTTTCTTTTTCATTTCTTTTTGCGTAGTAGGTTATAACCCCACTAATCTAAACTGCTATCAAAAAATGCCTTATTTCTTACAAGCAACTGGATATAGTTTTTGTCAGATGCTGAAAATCCACTCTCCCCAGATTTCTTTCTGCCTCTCGTCTGAGAAGACAAGATACAAGTTTGAGGAAAATTGCCTGTAAACCATTGCACAACAATTATATGCATGTTCAGGTGTATTCTATCTGAAAATGTTGTACAAAGAATCATTTGTCGCAATACTAACTACTACAAAAGTATCGTCTTCAATAAAGCGATTATTATTAACCGCCTTGATAAGGTTCAGTGACCAGCTAAATCAAACCAATGCACCTTGTCGAAAATTCCAGCACTTGACGATTACAGCAACAGGGATAAATGTATCTCGAATAAAGTTAGAGGTAAATTTAAGTTTACTCTGTCGAATAAAGTGCTCATAATCCAGATAAGTTTTACTGTGTGACTGGACTTAAAGAGTGTGGAGCTTTGGCCTGCTGGCTTGTGTAGTCGACGTCCACAGATGGATCACGGGTTCGAACCCTGCCCCAACTACCAAAGTGTGAACAACTAGATGGTATCATCAGCTCACGTACGATGGGTGTGGCTAACTGCGTATTGCAGGGACATGCAGGTGGTAGCTGAGTGCATATCAGTCTCGATTTTGGGTACCCATCCAAACAGATTGATAACTACAATTCCAACCCAGGTAGAGTATATTTTTGTCAGGACCAGAAAGCAACAAATATAAGATCGACTATCACGCATTGTAACCCAGTTGGCAGGACATTAGAGTGGCAAGTGCATGCCGTTTACTTAAATTTAGTGGTTTTCAATGTTTTTCAACCTCCACCATCATTTATACGTAATACCCAGGTCTTAGAATTAAAGCTATGAGGCACGATTAATAACCCGGCATAAATCAACTCTTAAACATTCCCTTAGTGAAAATATATTTAAACTACGTCTACTTATTCCTCGCTTTTATAGTCCTTGTATTTTATTATAAAGCACTATTTATTTGATTATTTTGGTAACGATCAGTTTGTTTATCATCTGTTTACAGTTACTGTGCTGTTTTAAACCATGGTAAGTGGGAATAGTGCAGTATTATATCAGTTTCCATGATGTGGCTTTAGTCATAAGGCTATATACCGCAAGGAAGCAGTGTTAGTCAGTGGTTTATCAAAGCTAGTGAAGCAAACAATAAGTCGACAACTTAACAAATTACTCCCTTAAATTTAACCAACCAAAAAAGACAAAGAGTACTTTGTCTATTACTTTCACCAGTGAAATGAATTTTTCCGAACATAAAATATCAGCATGTTTAAATCCTAAAACGCCTATAGTTTCTGATAACACATTTTCAACTGAATAGTAAACTGAATAAAAAATAAAAGAAGTTACGATAAGAGCACCTACAACCGGACTAAATGCAGAGCGATAGTAATGCAGAAACTGGAAGCTCTTTGTTTCACCAGTGACCAAACCAAATACTCAGATCCGACTTATGGGAAATGTTTACTGTCAGAAAAAGGGAATGAAGTGGAACGCAATCACAACATTATGAAAAATGCTTTCGGTAAGAATAAGTCCCCAATATAGAAGGAATACAACAGCAAATACTCATCCCCAGACACAATGGTATTTATTATTATTATTATTATTATTATTATTATTATTATTAGAACACAAACCATGGTGTAGCAAGGGAACTAAGAAATGCACCACACAAAATAAAGTAACAATATTATAAAGACAAAGCAAAGGGTAGTGGATAAATATAAAACAATAAGGATAGAGTGATTAGAAAGGCAGTTTAGTAAGGATACATTCAAAACAAAACATTTATTACTTTTCAGCACCAGAAGATAGAAAGAACCTACAGCATGACCACCACTGGTTACCATTATCAGCAATATCTGATAACGTCTCAAGCCACTGAGTTGCGTAATCTCATGGACCCCACCGCCCAGGAAGTCGTGATGCACGAACAGATACTAACCCAGAACAACTATCCTTCATCTCACGGCGCCATTTCATACAATGACCACCCCTCCGCTTCTTCCATCCAGTCCCAGTACTAGCAAACAGTGAACGGTGTGAAAACCGTTGGGACGATATGCGTAACACATATCCAAGCCACCGGAGTCGGTGTCTCCAGATGACTTCACTGATTGAATGTCGACATCCACCATGCACAAACACATGCCGTCGTATCTCGAAAATACTTACATGGTGTTGCCACCAGATACGAGCGGTCCTACGGAGACAACAACTACCGAACACGCACAGTCATCGCACATCCTCAGCTCGGAGAGGTCAGGTTTGACAGGCGTAGAGCAGAACTGCTTGCACCAAAGTGTTGTAAACCCGACCTTCTACGATCAGGCTAACATCGCGACGACACCAAAGGTTGCCCAAATTGGTGTATTCCACTCTGACTTTCGATATGCGGTTGGAAATTTCACCATTCACACCTCTATCAGCACTCAAACAACTACCCAGATGCACGAAAATGTAGACTACTTCCAATGGCTCACCACTGAGAGTGAACGCAGGCACAGGCTCTTGTCAATCTTGCAAAGGTACTTTTCACTTCAGTGGTGCAAAGCACATACTATACTTACGGACACTAACCGCCAACTGATGAAGTATGATTTGAATAGCCTATGTGTTATCACACAATAAGAAGATATCTTTGTATATTCAAGGTCGAATACCTGTTCACCGGGTAGTAGATCTACATTATGCTACGTTTAAAACACCGGTTTTCTACTGATCACCAGTCACCCCCGAATGTCCTGGCACGCGTTCATAACCTCTGCCAGAGAAGTCTTATTCACTGCCTTCATGTGACAGGGGTCTTTCCGCTGAAGTGGAAGTGCATAAGCGAATGCCCGATGCTTATTGCCGGATTGGTGGATACTGAGGGTCCACTTAGGGGAGTTGAAAAACCCTGATATCAAAACATACCAGTGGTTCACATGGGCTTTATGTCCCAGATTGAAGGAATGGCGTACGAACCTATTTTGATCACCGCTAATCACGGGAATTCAGCTTCTAATGTCGCTCGACTGCCTAGTGAACTAGAATTCAAGTCAAAGGCTAAGTTAGTGGTCCCCTAAGATAACTATCTGCTTCTGTCTGGGTACCCGGGCACTATCCCAGCCCTCGCACAAAATATGAATCTAGAGTATAAAATGAAGACGATGAAGTCTATTGAAAAGTAACCCCTGCTTATCGAATCACCGTACAGAACAGACCAAAAGTGCTTGTCTAGAAACTTTATTTGAAAAATGAAAGAGCGTTTTTCAACAGATGACGTTTTAGTCTCTGGTTTTCATAAGAACAACCACTGATGCGTTTTCCTCGAAAACTGCTTGCTAAGTTCATCATCAGGTAAAAGGCTATCTACCCCCTTCCCCTGGAAATTGATATGTGAATCATCCTAGTTAATGCCAAGAACACAATTACACCACTGAATTTATTTTGGAATCTATGAAGCCTAGCCTAGCCTATGAAGCCTGTTAAAATTCTTCAATACACAGAAGGATTCAATTAAGAAAGAAGATAAATCAACACACGAAATAAACTGCAACGTCAGGGAAAACAGTCATTCTCCATGTCCATATAAACACTGAACGAATAGGGATTAAATGTCATATATCTTTCTTCATGCCAACGAACACAGGCTACCATGCATGGAGCTTTAACTGGAAATATGTTGAAAGCTTGGAAGATATTTATACAAACTTTCATCAGCAAGTGAACAATACAATTAGGACTTCGGATAATCAAAACAATTATATGAATCATGTGCCCATGTGATGATTACACAACCAGTAAAAACCATCAATAACATTCTCAAAGTTGTCGGTATAAGTTTTAAATTCAGTGTCGACGAAAAAGTTGTGGTAATTAATGTTAGTAGCATTTTACACAATAATGAAAGCCTAACCCATAAGCCAGATAATTTAGATTTAACAAAAAGTAGAAACTCCTCATTGCAAGCTAGAAATCCTCTTCACAACCACAAAATAAGCTTTTATCTATTTGACCAATAAATTATATAAACCGAAAATAGACCACTAAACAACACTATTTATGTCTGGATAATTTACAGGAAGATTAAGATCGTGAGCTAACAGAAGTTGGAAATATGGAGCATTGGATTCTGACCCAGTGGCTCAATGGTAACGCGCTGGCAGCGGAACCTGAAGGTCGCGGGTTCGATCCCTGCTGATGTGGGGTCGTGGGTGCGCACTGCTGAGGAGTCCCATAATAGGACGAAACAGCTGTCCAGTGCTCCCAGGTTTCCTTTGTTCCTCCAACTGATGTCAGTCTACGATGAATAACAACTTGAAAGATTAAGTCTGTAAATTAGCATGCCATCACCCTCTATTGTGCAAAATATAATGTGAAAATTAGCTTTTACAGAATGCATAGATGAAATTTGTTATTCGACTTTAGTCGATTTACTAGTTAAATTACAACAAAACAGCATTATTTATTGGTTAACGTCCATATCTTGGTACATGAATAATTAATTGTGACCATGTTATCCAATAAATAATGCTATCTCTCTCTGTAAGACATCTAATAAACCAACTAAATGTGAGTACATTCTACAAGTTTTATTCTCGTAATAGTAAGACTTCTTGTTACTCAAATGATGAAACAAAGTGAATGCATTTTCTTAGCAGATAACTGCTACACTTCTTGCAGAAAAATTAAATATGTACATTTTAAATACATGTGAGCAAAAGCACAATTATTGCTTGCATAACTTTTGAAATCACACAAAACCAACAATATAAGTTTTACTATACCTAACAATATACTTACCTCAGGTAAACGAATACGCCCATTATGACCAAGAATAATTGGTTTTCCGGTAGTGGGATGAACTCCAAGTGATGACTATAGTAAGCGATTGCAGCAATTAACGAAATTTTTGTTGTGCTAAAGTATTTTTTGAACAAATCAATACAAGCTGAGATACTACTAGCCAAGAACAGTAAAATACAACATGCATAAATTCGACTAATACAAAAAGGTAGTAAATTTTCTGTTGAGAGTAGGTGCATGCGTAACTCCATGCGTATTCTAAACAAACTACAATGTCTTACAAAGTGGGGTGGAGAAATTCATTAGATGCTGGTAGCCATACACCACGAACAAGACGCTGTATTAGTTTCATCTCACAATAGCCTGCACCTATATTATCGAAAAGAGATGGGTGATAAATGGATACTAGGTAAAGAAAGGAACAGGAAAATACAGCTAGTAACTTTTGGAACAAGGTTATAACATTTTTAAGCTGACTGAAAACTCTAAATCTGCTCACATAAGCTGAATAAATAAGTGAAAAAGACCAATAGGGGCAAGTAACGATAAACATTTTCAGTACTAAGTTTAGACCTTTTCTTAAAGTTTGGAATGATGTAACCAGACTTTCTTGGTTGTATTCTGTTCTCTGAAGTTAGCGCTGAAGACGTCGCCTAGAAAGACGATGAGAGCTCCATGATTAAACAACTCAGCTCAGAGAAGAGAATACAACCAAGATCATACACCTGAGCTAAAAATACTCTACACCGTAACTAGATTTTATTCAGCTAAGAATCACGCTGCATTTTTAGAAAAGATTAAGTATTTTTGTTAGCGATAGCCAGGTCTACAATACCCTTCTTTATAAGGTCACCTTTTTTTACTGTAAAGAGTTTAAGCGTGTATCATCCACTTTGCTCAGAGTAGGGTCCAAATGTGAAATCCTATGCTTACTGATACGAGTGACGCTAAGTAGGGACTATCAGTTAACTACTTGGAATAAAGAACTACTGTTTACCGGTTTCCATGCTTCATTAATCTGTTCGATGAACCTGTTATCTACCTACTACCTGTGTCTATCCATATGCTTTGGAAAATATACAAGCATAAACAAACAACCCGAAATTTGCGCAATAGACCTAGTTTTCAGAATTCACATGAGCAAATCATGTTCAAACTTAGCAAGAGGGGAGACAAAGGAAAGAAACTCATAATGTCAAATTCCATAAAAAGCTACACGACACAGAAAGGAGACTAAGAACGTAAAAATACTTAAATACCTAAAGCCTTATATATCCCACCCCAAGTGACCGAATTCGACAATTATAGGAAACGACAGTGTGTACTCCTGCCCCAACACTCAACCCTTAATAGAAAGCTGGTTACAAAAAAACGCACGTTGCGCGTTGACTCACCTCCAAGAGGGTACTTGGTGTATTTATAGTATGAAGATTCATTTGTCCTATCAAGCAAAGGTGATGACGAAATCCAGTCTTCTGGATGCCTTGAGTAGAAATTTGAGTATATCAGACACGTGTTTTGCATCTGTCAAATATACGATGATGCTTTGAAAACTATCCGAACCAACTTACAGTTTAAGGATAGCAATTGAATTGGTGGAACGTGTTAGCCACTTCACTTAGGAAGTCACATCAGTCCTATTGGGGTGGACGCTGACAAAACTTAACTCAGATATAAAACGTCAGATTACTGCACTTGCGATGCCAGTGAGATATCCGACTACACATAAAAGGGCAAGTATATTGTGCAATAGTTGAATATGCTCAATTACACAATTGTGAGACGAATACCGAAAGTAGGAGACATGATGTTACAGGTTTTTGATCACAACTGTCGTTGTAGCGCTTCTCGCGTATGTTTGAGTTCTTGTGAGCGATGTAAAGGTTAGGCTTAGGGCGATACGCAAGGAAGACAAGTCAGCTGATAAAGTTGTGAACCTTCAGACTGAAGTGGTTTAGACATGTGTTGTGCATGCCGAGTCACAAACTATTTCGACTTGCGATGCTAGGAAAAGTAGGATAAGTAATCAGACCAAGATATAAAACTAGTTTATGAAGACTTTGACCATTTATTCAATCCATGTAAGGTGTTGGTTGTCTACTTAGAGTACTCGAGACGATAGGAATCAAGTTGCAGACTTTTGATGATATGGCTCACAATGGCACAGATATATAAACTCTTCACCATCTCCAAGGTATTTAACATTTATATTGTTAGCCGCCATATATATAAACACACTCATACATATATATAGATTAAAAAAAACGTCTACCTTGATATCACTCTTTCTACTAACCCCTTTATTGCATGCTACTGTGAAGTGTCGCAAATTGAATAGAAGTACTTGTGAGCCAGAGCATAGGCTGTTAAGTTTGTCTGTCTGTCAGATTTGGAGGAGCCAAATAAACCCTTGTATCTGTACTCTCACCACTCATCAGGTTTTAGTCTGATTTCTACGATAAGTCGAACACAGAAGTTATTTCACAATCCCTTGCGTGACAGTTGACCAACTGTCGAAGAAAATCGGAATTCACTCAGCAACCGTGTACACATTCATGCAGTCAGCGAAAAGTCACATCTACTGTGTGGCGGCCAGTGATACTACTGGGGTACCCAAACATCGGTAGGTTGGGAGGGGTTCGAAACCATGACTCGTCGGTTGGAAATCACGTACCTAAACCAAGGAGCCAAAGAACCACTAACTCACTCAGGTGGCTATCGATGCAGAACAGTAGGTAAGCAGCATTTCAAACTGGGAAGACGGAAAATGCAACCTAAACATTAGGTCATTACTAGTCAATGTCTGCAGAAATACGTCGGTGATGTAATCGAAGTCAGATAGTCAGAAATGTTGAAAAAGAACCCTGCACTAAAGTGCAACAGATCAAGTCACTACACAGTGCTTAGTACAGAAAGCAAAAGTTAACAGGAGAGAAATATCAAAAGAAGAGGAGAAAGGACAAACAAGCCATAGCCTGGCAGTGTTATAGAAATGAGACTGAAAAAACAATAATATCATTGAAGGCAACATCAGTTTATTTTCAAGTCACGCCAAATGAAGTGGAGGAAGTAAGCAAAATCTTGCAATAAATAGTTCTCAAATCCAGTTTTAGCTAGTGATCATCGACCTTTACAACGTATGTCGTTACATGCCACAAAGGCTAGTCCGAAATTCATAATTATGAAAAGTATGGTTTGACAGTAGTACCAAACACGTATGTTCACGGTTTACGTGTTACTAATAAGACGAAGATGATTAGGCTACACAAAAACGGGATTTAAATAAACTTTAGTGACGGGAAACATTGAGTGCAACCAATCAGGTTGATAATATACCCAAAATATTCGTTACATCCACTTACCGTGTTGTTGCAACCACAAATCGGATGATTTATGAAGGAGATTAGGTTGCAGGTCACATGTGAAATTTGTTGGAGAAGGTAATACGGTTGAAGTAAATATCTTGTTATTAAACTTGGATATAACCTAGGAAGATAATCTTAACAGGACCAGGTAAGTTATAACCTGCGCTTAAAAGTCATACCTACTTTTATCTGAAATGAGATACCTCTATCAAGCTATTGTTCACAAAAAAACTTCATTGATGGAACTACTGAAGTGCACGCAAACAACTTTGAAAATATGTGGAGTCGTCTCAGAAAGCTTTTAAGACCTTCAACGGGATCACGACGCGAAAATTCCCAAATATCATTTAAATGATAGGGTCTTATATGGACTGGCAGCAATACAGACAATGGCATGGTTTTAAGGATGACAATCCTATTAAAAACCTGGATATTTTCTCATGTAAAACACTAATAAACTGTAAATAAAGTATCGTTTCCGTTAATAACTTCCTCCTTCATATTCTTGATTATGACTGGTCAGTGTGATTCGCCGTCGCTTAAGTCCAGTTGAACTAAAACGTACACAAATAAACAGGTAACTGCTACCAACGTAAATTAAACGATTATACTAATTAGTGCGTGAAGCCAGATTTAAAATCTTATCAAATAAGGAGACTGGTGATGGGCTCAAAACTCAATAAACACTTGAAATTTACCCGTACTCACAAATTGATGTTTATAAATGGATTGCTTTTCGAATCCCAGATACCCAAGACATAGTTTATAACTGGTTGCAAATAGAGACTACCAACACCTACAAACATCGACATTTATGTCAAAAATACACCGTCTGTTAAAAATTACTCACCTTTTAAAAGACCCAGAAGAACACACATCACAGGAGATTCCGGGAACAGATGAAGCCCATGACGGACACCAACAAAAATCTTTTTCGCTCTCTGAACTTCCTTAAGTGAGCAAACAAGCAACCGCACAGGCAATATTTTACAGATACGATAGAGAAGATCAAATGGAAGATAGTTGATGAGATACCTACGAATAAGCTACAGTAGTAGTAGTAGTGACATACCACACAACTGTTGCAGTTAATACAGACGTTGTGTCATCAAAGCACTCAAACAAGGGTGAACCACACACGAAATTGGATAGGATCGCTCCTCCGAACACATGAGCATAGTGGCGAGCCAGCACGAAAACGGATGACGCCTCGAAAAGCTTACAGAACCTAATAAGTTGAAAAAATATAACCTTTACTCACCTGACTGAGGAGTATCTTCTTTCACAGCAATACTCATCAAAATATAGTTGGCAATATCAAAATATGGGTACATTCGCAGTTTGAATATGGAACTCGCCACATCATCAAAGATGACGGAGTTCATCTTACGAAGATACAGATCACAGTCCAAACCTCACTAGTTTCGAACTGACGCAAAAATTTTGAGGTGACTTCACAAACGTTAAACAAACAAGGTCGAGTTGATACAACATACATCAATTATACCACTATACCAGGTTCCATGGGATACTACTCCACTCCTTGACAACCTTTCCAAAATCAACATCAATGGTACGAGTAGAGGAAACCTGTAGTTTTGAGCCCTCCCTTCTAGGTCTTGAGGCTCCGTTCTTTTCTTTCGGTCGTACTCCTTCGATGGTCTCAGAAGTCTTTGCACCTCCCTGCTTATAGCTTTGAAGTCAGTGATTGTCTGTTTGAAGGTATTTTATTTGCAAATCACGGCTTGGTTTGTTTTGGAGGAGCAATGGAGCTGCTGATAAAATCAGCTAACCTCTTGCAATTCCTGCCTTTGTAAGCACCTCCAAGTAAGTGTTAAGCGTTACTTAAAAAGTGCTAGAAATAGGGTGAGTGGGAATGAGAAAAAGAGAAGTGAGAGGTACTTATGGAAATAAGTGTTACTGGTAATAATTTGAAGGAGAGATGCATCTTTCTGCAGACACTTGGGTTGAGGAATGTAAGGGTGGAGGTGTGTATCATCACTTACTACCCACAAATCTTCGTGGTTAGCCATTTGCACTCACATTCTCATCCAGTAGTTGTTTGAAGGAGTCGACTGATGTAGCTGTGGCCACTTCCTTCGGCAGACCGTTGCATAAGGTGCACACTCTGTGGGATAAGAAGTTAGATCTCACTCTCAGTTTTGCCCAACGGTAGGGTATGGTCGCTTTTGGACCGATAACGTGGTCCTATCTGGGTGGTCCATTTGGTGAATGATCTTGTGGACTGTTATCAGGTCACTTCGTTTCCTTCGATGGCTTAGTGTGAACAACTTGAGTTGTCTGGGGCGTTGCGCATATGTTTGCTTGTTGGTCCGACAACCGACTTTGTTGCCCTTCGCCTTACCTTCTTGAGAGTATTTGCGTCTATCTTTAGTAGTGGGAGGACTATCATGTTGGACACCTCTAAGCGTGGTCTAGCATAGGTTTCAAATGCCATAAGGAATAACCCTGGGTTAACAACTCAAGCTGCCTTCTTAGAAAGTGCATGATGGTGTTCGCTTTTGCCGCCATCTCCTTATAAATGCCAGTAGTATCCAGTGTCAGCAAAGTGTAGTCCTAGGTCCTTCTCTGTGGATACCTTGGTGATTGCACGCTTGTTAAGAGTGCGGCTGATTTCCATCGCCTCTGGAGTGCGAAGATACGTCACCTTGCATTTCTCCGGGCTAAAATTTAAACCGTTCGCAGCTGACCAGGATTCCTGCTGCAACAGGTCGTTTTGGAGTATCCTAGGATCCTCTTCGTCACCTATCGTCCTTCATGTTTTGAGGTCCTCGGCGAGTAGAAGGATAGATAAGGAGATTTTAATAGGGAGGCCATTTATGAATAGTAAAGATGGAAGAGGCCCAAGGTTCGCTACCCAAGAAACTCCTGTTCTCACATTCCTCCAGATTGATCGAATTCTGTTTGCTTTAGTGCGGAGTTCCCTGTCCTCTATCGAAAGCTTTGACCAAGCTCAAGAAGGCAAGATAAACCGGTTGTTTGTTGTCCCTTCTGGTGGTCCAGTCATCCCAAGCAGTCATGCAGTTTGTGGCACATGACCGCCCGGTCCTGGAGCCATGCCAGGGGGGATGGACGACGTTGTTTCCGTTCACGCAGTACCAAACAGCATTTGCAGTCAGGCTTTCCAGTACCCTGGTAAGCATGGGGAGTAATGCCATCAGTCTTCAGTTGCACGGGTTCTTTCGGCCTCATCCCCCAAAGATTGGTGAAAGGATGGCGCGTTCCCATTCTTTGGGGAGTTGACTGACTTTCAACGAGTGCGTAAAGAGGTTGTGTATGGGTATGCTTAGGACCTTGGCACAGTTGAGTCGGACTACTAGTCTAATGTCATCACAGCCCGTTGATTTCCTTACTCTCAATTTTGAAATTTTTGCAAACACTCGGCTTGACGAAATCTTTACGTTCATCAGCTTTGCGTCGCAGTCCTGGGATTCTGTTACATTGCTAGATGTTGACAGTGTATGTATTAATGGGTTGAGTTGCCCGTCAAACCGACTGCTCAACAGTTCCGCTATCTTAGTGCTGCTCAAAGGTTCCTCCGCCGGCCCTGTGATCAGGTTTAGACCCCTATCCGTTGGTTCGCGTTGTGACATAAACCGATACGGACTCTTTGGGTTGTAACTTAAGTGTTTGGCAAGGTTGCCCTGGTATGTATATCTGTCATTACGAATTCTTATATTTCATAAGTTTCATAGCGTCTTGTAGCCAATAAAGTTTGATTCTTTGCGTGATGTACGCCATTGATACCACGGCTTCTTTCCCTCAGCATTCGCCCTTAGGTTGTGCGAGCTCCCCAAGACCGTCTGATAGGTGGCTGTTCGGCTACTTTCGGAACACCGTTATCGATAGCTCCCCATACAATATCTTTAATATGTATCCAGCGTCCCCTATCTATAGTGAATGGCATTTTGGTGGCCTTGAAGCCTACAGGAATTCGTTGCTCATGAGATGGTAGTCTGCTTTTCGGTAACAGCGGGACACTTCTGGTCCAACTATTGGTAGTGTCTCCTTAGTCATCCGAGAGAATCTCACCAACACGTGAGCCCTTTTACCTAGGGGGTTGGATGCAAATATAGTCCTCCAAAAGATCGTCATCTGTTAGAACGTAGCTAAGTGGTGATCCTTTTCCAGCTGGTCTCCATCCGGTATTTTCTCCAACCTTCTCTATCAGTCCTGTCGCCATAAACGTATTTCGAAGTTTGTGTTCGAAGGATCTATGCTCATATCTTACCTCACATCCCAGGTTGAGTGCCAGAGTTTCAAAGTCTCCAGCTAGCACCATGTGGTCACAGGCCGCCAAGTTGGTTGTTGAAATTCCAGTGAGCAACTGTGCCTTATGCTCACTTGCGCAAAGGGGAGGCCCATGTACCACCCCTAATAGGTACTTGGTTTGGTTTATAGTGAAATAGCACCGTAAGGAGCCTGGCAGTAAGCTGAATACACCATCAGTCGCTTCCTTGACCTTTGGATGAGTGTTAATACACATGGCAACTCATCCACTACCTTTGAACTGCCTGTCATTTCGGAACAAGGTCATGTTGGCTAGAGATATTTCCTCATCCACCATGTCTGCTGACAGCATGCCTCCGTGAGGAGAATTACGTCTGCGGATTATGGCACAATGTTTTTAGCTCCAGTAGTTTACTCTTAAGACCCCTTACACTGCTGTAGAAGTGTGTCAAGAAGCCACTTTCTGGGGTCAGTGAGATATGGATACTTGTTTGGAGGCCAGTGTGCAGTTGCATCGGATTCTGACTGCCGGTCCCTACTGGACTAGCAGGCCCCCTTTTTGGTCCCTCTGGTATCCTGTTGCTGATGTTGCGATATTGTTTATTGTGCCTACAGGTAGCTCACTAGCCAGATCTTTTCTGACTAGTACTGTTCATGGTGTCCCCGGAGGTTGCCTCCCGTCTTCTAGTCCGGCAGCTCGTAGTTTACCTTACAGCATCGCATAACACCTGTGCGGTCTTTTACACAGTACTATGTTGTGAGAGCTTCTATTAATGATTCTTCGCAGTCAAAGCGTACAGCTAGCAATCTTGGTGAGGAAATGCTCTGCAGGTGCGTAGGTCTTGGTAACCTACCCACGTCTCCTGCAGCCAAACTCCCAAGTCCCATCTTTGCCACTAGCCGCCTTCACTGCTCGACACCCTAGAGGCAATCATTACAATTTGTGAATCGACCCACCAGTTCTGGTATTCCGTGCACTAGCATGGTTGCAGCCTTGTGTAGGTCACTAGATGAGGACTTTTTCTCCGCCCCTCTGATGACCCAACGTTTGTCTAGTTTCACCCTTATGGAGCCTACAATACCTGGTCGACGCGGCGGCAACGGTCCGGAAATACCTCTTCATTGGTCCTAGAAGTCTGTATGTTTTCCCTGCTTATACCTTTGGAAGTGGTGGTGACTTAGTTGAAGGTGTATTTTTGCAAACTGTAGCTTCGTTGTTTGAGGGGCAACGGAGCTGCTAATAAGATTAATGAACTTTTTGAAATACCCACCTATGTAAGGACCCGCCAGTAAGTGCTAAGCATTATCTAAAACGTATGAGGAGAAGGGAGATTGGGTGGTGAGAAAAAGAGAACTGACAGGTACTTAGTAAGCGTTATTGGTGATAATATGGAGAAGAGATGCGTCCGACTGCCTATACTAGAGTCGGGGAGCTCAGAGATGTGTGGCACACTTTCGATCACGCCAAGCCATTTACGCTGACATACTAGTCCACTAGTCATTTGAAGGGGTCAACTTATGTAACTGTGGCTTCTCCCTACACCAGACCGTTCCATAGGACACACACCCTCCGTGAGAAGAGATTAGTTCTCACTCTCTTCTCCTCATCGTGCGGTAGATCAGTGGC